AGCCTGTTACTCAGGAGCCACTGATGCTCTAGGAGGGAGTTTGTAAGGAAAGCAGTGTTGATATTTATGTGGAAGAGGAGAAATCAGTTTTGAACAGTCTGGTGTTCAGAAGTGAGGACAAGTTTGTGTATTAAAAACTGAACATCCTAAAATTCAGTATCTGGTTAACAGTCTGCATTTTCAGTTTTATGCTTAAATGCCTCATGTAGTTAACAATGCCTGTCAAATTAGCAACGTTCTTTAAAACTAAAATATTTGTAGTTAATTAAATATCAAAATGAAATGAAGGCATTTATAGTGGACATCTGCCTTGCACCTGACTTAGTCAACTTAGACATATTAAACCTGAGAGGAAAATGTCTCTGGGCCACCTCTGAAACTTAAGTACCAGAATGTGTTAATTTGACTTTTGTATTTCCAGCTCCTTGAATGTTTTCTGTGTCAACACATGGATAAGTGAAATACCGATTTAATAGTACTGTTACAGAGACCACCACCTTAGTTTGTCATTGTGATGAAGGAAGATCACAGTTAGCCTGGGGATAATGTATTTACCACTTATGTGAAACTGTAGCTTGGGTTGATTTAGAGGCTCTGTGCAATACAATAGTTTTCTCTAGTAGAAACATTCTCACAGGCTACTCTGCTGTATCTGGGAGGAAATCTTTCTTCTACTTTATGTGATCTATGACCTTCCTATGGTGGGACTATTTATTACCCTTTTACTGAAAAAGCCAAAAAGCTGTAATCTTAAGTAAACTTTCTAGATAATTCTACTTGATTTTTCATTTGGAAAGCTAGAGGGACAGGATGTATCTGTAACTGGGAGGGGAGGGAATCCTCATCAACCAAAATTCTTTCCAACATGCAGACATCAGAAGATGGTGAAAGATGATGCGAAGCTATGAGCAGTGTGGTGTTTGGTTGCTTCCTTTTCTGCATTTGAATGAGAGAACTTAGCTCTGATACCACAAGTGTTATCTTCTAGTACAGTACTGATTGGTGTATACATCTGCAGCAGGACTTATGTTAAAAGGTGTTCTGAGACTTAGTGGTGATTTACAGATCTGGGTACATGGAAGTGAACTGGGAGAGCTTTTGGAGTCTGCATGCTGTTTGGTATGAAGCACTTTCCTTAGACTTCCTTGTAAGGTAAAAGTAGCTACTTGAAGCTGTGAATCTCATTTGCAGAGGACAGTTGCTGTGTCTTATTTTTCCAGGTGAGTTTTGTATAAGCTCAAAGGTCAGAGCTGAATTGTTATTTGACTGAAGTAGAGTTACAAAGTCTTAAAGTAGTTTTATCTCAAAAGTACTGGTTTAGAAGAAACTCTTCTCTTGATAAAAGAACTAACTTCCAAATTGTAATAGTTCTGTAAAAAAGCACATACTGATTATGTGAGACTTAGTTTCCTTTATGTTAAGTTGTACATCCTGTGATTAGCTAAACCATACATGCCTGAGCTCTGTAGTAGTAACAGTTAGGAGACAACAGTACTCAAATGATGTCAAACCTCTGATTTCCATATGGTTCTTGTTTCACAGTTATGCATTTTACTTGGACAGCAGGATTTCTTTAGCTTCAAGCCAACCGAATTTGTCTTAATCGCCAGTGTAAACACGTAGGTCAGTTTGCTGCTATTAGGGACCAGATGGCTGGAGTGTTCTAATTTACTTGACTTACTGCCAGATGACTCTGAAATTGTACCTTGCTATGCCTTGAATGCAGCCTCCAGGGGAATCATGAGAAAACCAGGAGTCAGTATACAGGTTCCATATTAACTGAAGGGCAAAGCAGATAGGCTCTGATTCAGCAGCCTCTTTAGGTTCATGCCTGGCTTGAAGGAAAAGTCCTGCTGGCTGATGTTGCTGGTAGTATATGTGCATTCTTAGTTTGGCATAAACTGGAAGCAGGAAGAAAATTCACCTGCATATTTATTTAGAGTTATTTATTTTTCATTCTCTAATTGCGCTGGCCTATTGCTCTACAGATGAGCAGAAAAACGTAGCTTCTTAGAACAGCATTAAACTCAAACTGTAAGTGATGTATCAATCCCAGTTGTAATTCAAAGCAAGATGACAGTGAAACTGAAATTTGTTTTCTTAAATTCTTCAAGACAACCTTTGAAGGAAAAAGGTAGTTCTGTGGATTTTTGAGTTGTATTACTATACCTTGTTGTGGCTGACCCTTCTTATTGGATGAGAAGGATTAGATTGTGAGCCTGTAAACCTGTTCCTTTCAATTTTTCAAAAAGCACTTCGATGTTGCTTGTCTCTTCTGTTCTCAGTTTGCAGAAAGTTCTGTCTTTACTAGAAGCTATTTAAATAATTTTTTCAATAACTTGTGAAATTTAGGTGTGACCAAGAACTTTCATGATGTACCCCAAAGTTGTTTGATTTGCATCTGATGAAGTTTTTAGCTTTGCTGCTATGCAAGGATGGATGCAATTCTGTTTAGCTAACACCACATGGATTATGGTAGGTAAGTCAGGACATGATAAAAAAACATTCACTCCAACAGCTATACTTCTAGGAAAGAGCTGAGTGAAATAGCTTGAAATAACAGTTGTATCTGCTTGTTACCGTAAATAAAATAGAATGTGGGTTGCAGTCAAATAGTGATTGACAACAACGAAGGTGAACAGCTAAGTTGTGTTTGCTTCTCCTTCTGCCAGATCTCCTACCCAAAAGCTTTGTGTAATTTGTCTCCAATGACCTGTTTCACAAAGGGAAAATGGAACAATTGTGAAATAGTTATTGAGACCTTGCTGCTTTTGAACCCACTGAGACAAACTCTGCCTAAACTCAGTTTGAAATAAAGGACCCACTTTTTAGGTGTTTAGGAATGAGCTCCATGAAAGGTGTAGGATACAAAACTGGATACCATTATAAGGAAGACGATGACTGAAGTTATTGTCTATGTGAGTAAGACCCCCTCAGCCTATCACCTCAATTCAAAATAGTTTCACAAAGATGTATTTTTCTCTGCCCGTGTTGTATTTTTTAGTCTGGACTGAAATGTACATTTATGCCAGCAAGGAGTAGCATGGATTTGGTGTAACTTTGGCTTGCTTCTAGCTCTGCTTCTAGCTTTGCTTGATAGTTTGTTCATAGTCTTGAAATCTAGGCTGGTTTTACTAATTTAAAATATGGGCTAGGGGAAAGGACAGGCAACTCTGTTTTGAGGTGGATTCTAGACATGGATACACAATGTAGAAACTGCTGACATTATAGAGTTATAGCAAATACTTCAGTTTATATTTTTCAGGACAGACATCTAGAGAAATTGAGAAGTTGTGGAGAACTTCATCGAACTGCACTGACATACAACAAACTTCTGATATGAGATTTAACACCCCCATTGTCTTGTTACTGTTCTTCCTGGAAGACAGGAAACATGGAAGAGTCCTATAAACCAGCAGCCAGATTGTAATGGGAGATGGCTTATGATAACATTGCTTTTACAGCATACAGACTAGATCCAACACAAAACAGACATGGAAGTGCTGGACCAGGTCCAGAGGAGGGCCACAAAGATGATAAAAGGGCTGGAGCACCTCTCCTATGAAGACAGGCTGAAAGAGTTGGGATTGTTCAGCCTGGAGAAGAGAAGGCTCTGGGGGGACCTTATAGCGACCTTCCAATAACTGAAAGGTGCCTATAAGAAAGCTGGGGGAGAACTGTTCACTAGGGCATGTAGCGATGGGACGAGGGGTAATGGTTTTAAACTAGAAAAGGGTAGATTTAGGTTGGATATTAGGAAAAAGCTCTGCAGTATGAGGGTGGTAGGTCACTGGAACAGGTTGCCCAGGAGGCCCCATCCCTGGAGATACTCAAGGTCAGGCTTGATGGGGCTCTGAGCAACCTGCTCTAGTAACAGTGTCCCTGCTTACTGCAGTTGGGGTAGACCCAGATGATCTTTAAAGGTCTCTTCTAACCCAGTACTTTCTAGGATTCTATGATTTTGAGTGGCACTTTGATTTGTCATGCAAAACTCATACTGTAGCTTATTCCTTTGGAGAAACCTGGGGCTCTGCTAGTGGTATAGCCAGGGCTGTGTGTTCACTGAACAGTGATGTAGAATACTCTTAGGCTCCTTGCCAAAATGACAGATGTTTTAAATTAGCTTCTGGAGTGTTGCAAGAACTAATTCTTCTAAGGTCTTCCTTTTAACTGGGGAAATCATATGAGCTGCATGGAAAATTTCACTTCCAACATTTAGCAAATTGTCTAATTGGTTTTGTCAATATAGGTGTTCAGAAAAACACTTGTTAAAAAACCCCCACAAACAATAAACTTTGGACTCTCATCTTAAATATTTGTGTTTTATTCTGTGTGATACATGCAGTTGGTATATTCTTTACTGTATCCAGCAGGCCAAGAAGATGGAAAAGAGACATCATGGGGTGCTCATACTTTCTCTTTCCTGCAGCAGAAGCAGATGTGACAAAAAGCTGCAAAACTGATTATAAGGGAAAAACCTCAAGCCTGATCAGGAAGTTTTCCTATTGCTTTTCCATGGAGAAAATACTCCCCATCAGGAAGCTTAAAATATGCTGATGTTCTACTAATCAGTGGCAGATAAGAGTGCATGAGACCTACAGGCAAGGTTAAAAAGCCAAAAGCAGCAGGAAATCTGAGTCTCCTCCTGGTTCTTCTCCCTGCATTCCTAGGTGGCTTTTCAGTGGCCACATATGCCCACTGACTTGTGTGTGATGCATTTTCTTTAAAGTTTTAGAGTTGTCAGCCTCTTGTTTGCTGTTGTTAAATAGCAGGGAGCAGGCAGGGAAATAGCTTTCTTAATATAAATTCCAGTGATTTACCTCTAATCTCCCAAAGAGTATGGAAATGAATATGGATGGGTAGAAGCTGTAACTAAAAAAACTGCCTTTGAGTTTTGTTTGAGAGCTTCCCTTCCTCTGTGCTACTCTGGGCAGACACAGTGAAGAAGTTATGGTCTCTTTACTGTGTTAACCAGTGCAGTTTCTTTGGAGCCATGAGTAATGGCCACTTCAGAATTACTTAAAAGCAGAAGCTTCTATTCCCTGGAGACTGTTGCTTCCCAGTTAGGGAAAACTTATCTTGGGAGGTAAGAATATCTGAAACCCAAGTAGGAATCCTGTTTTTCTTACATGTATATTTCCTACATATATCCTACAGATAAAATGCAGGTTTCCCAGATAATTGTTCTGAACTAGCATGAAGCTCGACAAGCCTTCCATCTGAAATAGGGAACATGTAGATATCACATTTTAAGAAAAAAAAAATCTTTGTTCTCTTGGCACTGGAGTATGCAGAAGGTAGAGTTGAGCAAACCTACCTTGTGTTACACTGCAGTATGTTGGAAAATTGCTTAGCCCATGTAAAATTCAGTCTGAAGAATCTGGGTCTTATTAAAACAAAGAAACAAAACAAATCCCCTAACCACAAAGCTAAAAAGGAAAGCCCACAAAACTCTTGTGGGGTTGTGTATTTTTTCATGAATGTGGCTTCACATTTTGAGACTTTGCCTGTTAAATGGTATGCGGAGTATGTTTGTTCTTTACATTCCATCTCTATACCTTGGCTACAAATGCAAACAGCAACTTCTGCTATTGGCTATTTACATAATAGGTATGTAAATATGAAATGCTTTCCTTTGAGCCACAAGGCTTTATGCTTAAACACTCAGTAAATATAAACAGTGAGCATGTACTGTATTGCTGCTTAAAATATGGCAAGAAGACCTTTCTAGAAAGGCAGGGAACCTTTTAAGTTGAGACCTCATGGGAACTGCCTGAAATCCTGTGTCCTGTCTGTGTGCTGTATAGTGCTGAGAATATCGGAGGAATGACTATTTCTGCTTTGGACTAGAAGAGGAATTATCTGGTTTTGGAGTTTAGGACAAAGACTGTTTCAGGAAAGTTAAAACTCCCCACAAAAAAAAGGGAACTAACTTATATACTATGTTATTTTCATTTGAAGACTAAAGACCCTAGCTAGGCATAGCAAAGAACGTCCATATATGTGTGCATGTATAAATACATTAAGTGTATATATAGTGTGTATATCTATAATTAGTTGATAATGCTTCTTTGAATAGTGAACTTAAATATATCCTCTTCTACAAGAGACTTACGCTTTCCAGACTGAATGATGAAATGTTTGTTGTATGGTCTAATAAAACCAGAGGTAAATCTATCATCAGGTGTGTTGTAACTTGAGTAGAAATTGTTTCTTCTTTGCTCTTGACTGACTGTACAATATAAAATAGCAATAATACTTGTTAGAATGACCTTTGACTTGAAGCTGCTATTGTAAACTTTTTGTCATACTTTCTTGAAAAATGGTGTATCTCCATAAACATTTAAAATAAACTGAACTCTAGGCCTGTTGGTACAACTGCAAGAGAAATAAATAGTGAAGGCAATGGGATTTCTTCCCAGCAGTTCCCTGGAATTAAAGTATTACTCTTCACTGTTACCTGGTGACAGCCTTAACTGAAAGATGTGCAATGCAAAGTTTATGCAGATTACCCTGTTTCTGACTCATCTTGATCATGCCTGTGTATATAAGCGTGTTCTATGAGTGCTTTAGCAGTAATTGCAACAAAGCAGGTCTGTTCTCTGGTGGGTCATGTAACCCTGTCCCAAGAAACGGAGCATGAGATAAATTTATCATTGTACTTCTCAGGCATTGCCATGAAGTTTAGGAGTCAAAGCAACACTACAACACTGTGCACTAGGAGTAGGAGGAAGCATGGCCTTTCCCTTCATTACTTACAAATATCTATATGACAACTTGTGAGTGTAACACCACTTGATTATACTAACAAACGTTGAAAAAACCCAACAGACCACCCCCCGAACTGTAGGCTAGGTTGACTGTGTTTGAACCAACTAACATACTAGGGCTGATCTACTTCTGTAAATCCCCTCTGAAAGGGACCAGACAAGGGAGACAGTTTTTGGCAAGTGGCATAAAATTGCAGGGAAATGATGCTTCTGGAGAGCTGTACAGCATTGGCAAGTGCTGTGCATACTGGCACACTACAACTTCTGTCTAAAACCAGCACATCTTTAACACCAGCTGATGGGGGATTTTCAGGGCTATCTTGTCTAGCTTGAGCAGGCCTGGCAGCTCTTAACGCAAACGAGTGCCTGGGTTAAAGACCTTCTGCTTTGTGATGCCTTTCTGAATAGCTTATTCAGCTGGAAAATACAGTGAACAAAGGAGCTGGAAATATTTTGTCAAGTTGGTGATCTCACAGTCCAGAGAGCCAGCTACCAATTATAAAGACTTCTATTGTGTAACACAAGAGCCAGTCTATAGAAAACTCCAGATCTTACTCTATCTCTCTCTTTATTAGCTTTTGTGTAATTATTTTTGCCTAAAGGACGGTGTGAATGTTGATGTGGGGTGTATTATCAGTAATTAACTACATTTTTGTAAGAGACCAGGTTGATTAGCAAAATGGGGATAATTGGACTTGTGGGGATTTGGAGGGAGGAAAGTTACAGAGTTCACAATGATTAAGTTTTACAACTAAGTGTAGCAAACAAATAGTATTGTTTCTGTGGAGAATGGGAAGAGGGAAAAGTACTCCCCCACAGTTAATTTATGAGAGATGTTCGCAGGAAACAACATACGATTTCTAAAGCATTAGACTAACCACAGTATATAGCGGTCTCAAAAACAGACACAGCAATAGCAAACCTAGTAAAAGGAATTATCATTAGTACAATTAGGGGGGTTTTGTTGCTATTTTGCTGTTTGTTTTCATCTGGGCTTTACAGTGAAATTCTGAATCTTAAGTATGACTTCTTTCTCCTGCAGGTTGGAAAAGAGACTGTGCAGACAACAGAGGACCAGATCTTGAAAAGGGACATGCCACCAGCATTTATCAAGTAAGCTCATCTTATTGTAAATCTTCTGATGTGTGTACAGGAAACCTGTGATAAATCGTGACTAATTTCTGCTGTACGGATTAGAAAATACTTTTATGTTTGAGTAGCTCTTTGGGGTTTTGAGGCTGACTGTCAGGAATGACTTTTCTGCCAGGTGACTTTTCCTGTTACGTTCCTTTTACCTATCTAGGGTATTCCTTTTAAAAATTAAAAAAAACTAAAAATCAGAGTAAGTGGTACTTACCTAAGTATGTGGTGGTGTAGTTTGGCCTATCAGGGTTAATGTGGTGGTCTCAATCTTTTCTATTAATTTGGTTGATGGAAAAGTGTGGATTTGTCTGTACAGGCAGCTGATGAATGATGTAAATGCCTAGAAATCTAAGGCGTTTGAAGAGTGGAGACCGAGACTCTTAATTCTGTGGCTCAGTGTCAAGGACAGCTGACTTTCTCCTTTTACTGCCTTAAGTCTTAAAAATCATATATCACTTGTTGTGGAAGTGCCAAGCTTCTTACTGCCAAGTGACAAAATTTCACTGAAGTGACTTTGCCCTAGAACGTTCTGAATGTAGTGACTGCTCTGTTAGTGGTGTCTGGTGTATACAGAATGACTGAATATTTCACTATATTCCCAAACACAAAACAGCAGGGCAGTAAAAAATAAATAAATTATTGAAGCAAAAAAGAAAATACTAAAATGGGGAACAGAGATGATGTCTAAAGAGGAAATTTCGATTAGGCAGTGAAAAAGGATTTAGTTTGTTGCATTATAGGTTGACAAAATGAATGATTAAAAAATGCCTAGGACCCAGCGATATTAATATAAGAGTTCAAGAATGAAATAGGTGAATTATTACTGAAGTACAGTCTCTCACTCGAGACCACCTGGTATGTCAGCCAAGGTGATGCTAGTGCCTGAGAAGCTTTCTAGGGGAATCTGGGGAACAGGAGGTGTTTAGGTCTGACACACCTTTAGAGAAGGTACCTACCATACCTTTCTATACTAGAGAAGAGAATTCACAGATCCCAAATATGTAGAATTTGCTTTGTGTGAATTGACAGTGTTTCTGTGGAGAGAAGTTCAGCCTTATGTATCTGTTGATGTTCTTAGAAATATCACCAAGAAGGATAAAGGTGATCCAGGTGACACAGTAAACACCAATTTCTAAACTTTTTGGCCAAGTCTGAAGGCTTTTGAGAAAATGAAGTAGCCAAAGGGTAATAGAAAAAGTTCTTGTATGGAAAAGAAAAATAGAAAGTGAGTGGAAAAATTACATGGTTAACCCTGGCAATGATGGGAGGTGATCAGTAGGGCTCTAGAGATCTCTGCTGGAATTGTGCTTTTCACAATGTTCACAAATGGAAACCAGGATGAGCTGTGAGGTGAAAGTACTTGCTGATGACTTGAAGGGTCACTACACAGGGTAGTGAGGTTAATGGATGACTCTGAGAAATTACAGCAGTACTTTATTAAACTGAGTGACTTGATGTCAAGTGTAGATGAAATGATTTTGAAAGATCTGAAATGAAGCACACATGGGAGAGCAGTGAGTCTAGCTTCAGGTAGGATGACTGACTCTGAACTGACCATTACCAATAGCGAGCAAGGTCTTGGAGCTGTGATACCTTGTTGAGAGCATCCATTTTATGTTCAGTAGTGGTCAAAAAGAAAACCTAATATTAGGTTTATCAGCAAAGGATGGGAGACCAAAATGTTACTGTATATTTTTCTCCCACACCTTGAATACTGCATGCAGTTGTGGTCCCTAAATTTTAGAAATGCCGTAGTAAAACTGGGAAAAGCTCATAGAAAGTTTTAGAGAACAATCTAAAGTGTGAAATTTCCTCTGCATAAGGCAAAGCTAAGCAGGCTGGAACTCTTCAGCCTGGGAAAGATGACAGAGGCTTTGGGCCCTTACTATCTAGTAGTTTCTATACCACAATAGGGGGCTTCTTTGTGTAGCAAGTTACATTCTTTGTATGGGTTTGGAGGTTAATTGATAAGTACTTGGAGAAATGCATTGTGGATTATCAAAGAGACAAACTGCAGGAAGTTCTAAGAACTGGAAATAGTTGGAGGATGGGAGAGTGCCCAGAGGAAGTATGATAAATGCTTATCCTCTTAACCTTCCTCAGGCATCTACTTGCAGCTGCTTTTGGAGACAGGATACTGAGCTAAATGGGCCTTTGATACAATCCACTACAGTATTTATTATACTGTGTTCCTGGTTTGTGATCTTGTTTGGGTGTAGAGAGGCTTGATTTTTTTTTTTAATTATTTTTTGAGAGGAGTGTTTATGTACTGAAATGAGACCAAAACTTTTTTTTCTTGCTTCTTGATGAGTTGTATGTAAACAGATAATTTTTATGGTGCTAATTTTCTAGGCTGCGTAGAGTTTTCAGTTAATTTCCAGCTTCTTGTTCACCTAGACAAGTAAGGGATTAAGGAAAAGAGATTTTCTTCATTGCTATACTGCAACCAGTCTTTGATCAACACTTAGCAGATTGTAGAGACTTAAATTGTTAAATTATTGTAGAAACGCGATACAAACACTGCTGAATAGTACCACTTTATTTTGGGTGCAAGAACTTTTTCTGCAGCAATTCATGACCGCTTGAATTGTGATATAATGAAAAATAGGAAGCAAAGCAGTCTGTCGCGGTAATGAAACCTACTTCATACAGTACTTACTAACCTAGATGGTGTAACAGGAGTCAGAAATGTTCAGTGGCCTTTATGAATGATAATCTATTGCATTTGTTGAGTTTTTCATTAGTCTGGAGTTTACATCAAAATGAACTAGTAGATGTTAACAGTTCCTTGTTACGGACTTGCTCTGGACTATATTGTCACTGATACCTGTATTGGAGAGACAAGTGACAGTCTCAGGTAAGCTGCCAAAGGAGTCTTACCTGTTCCTGTATTAAAGGGCAGGATTTGGATGCAGGAAGTGAAACAGATGTGTTTTGGTTTTTTTTCTTTCCTGAGAGGAGGGTTTTTTCGTTTCTAAAGTGTTAGTTCAGGAATTGGCACTTCTCTCTAAGGAGTGCTCCAGCAGAGCTTGTACCGGCACACGGCTGCTAGGGTAAGGAGCAGTGTGCTTGTACTAGCACTGCATTCCCTGTCCGTATTTTCTCCATCCAAAAGGACCACCAGTCTTGAGGGAACCACTCTTGGAGGATAAAGAAGATCTGTCTAGTCTTTTCAAAGACTTGTGTTTTGGCTTGCCTGGGATTGGCATAGAGGGTTCACAATGAATATATGTGATGGTAATCTGTGAAGTTTTTCAGTAGGAGCGTGATTGTGCAGCAAAATAATTTGGCTGCTGAGAAGCTATCATGCATCTCTTTGCTTTTTACTAACTTAAAACACATTGGAACTATTGACCTAGAGTTAAAAAAAATGCTCTTCTTTATCTTAATTGTCTTTATCACCAGGGACTATGAGTAATGCATATAATTTACATCAGATGTTTTCCAATGTGTTCATATTACTTGTTACACTTCTCTGGTAAAGAAGGAGCAGCTGTGATCTCTAGGCAAAGAATACGTAGCACCCGATTTGTTTACACTGAGAATAAAAATCTGTCTGCGTTCAACTTGCACATGCAAACTCATTTAACAAATCAAGTAGTAATGCTATTCTATATTAGCATTATTTTGTTAGCCAAGCTGGAGCTGCATCGCTGGTAGCTGTATTAGCAAATTAATGTCGAAGTAACTTATGTTTCTAGAACTGCAAGTAATCTGAACTTGAATGATTAGAAAATGAAGCGAGCATTATTCAGGCATCAAGGGCATTGCCTGGCATTTTTGGGCAGGCATCTCTGGGAAAAGCAGAGGTCAATCCTAAAACCTAAAAACTATAATGGTAGTTTAGCATAAGATAACTTCCCTCCCTCACATTTCATAAAGAAGACACTAAGAGAAACAAAGCTGATTGACTACCAGAAGTAGTGTGGTTGGTAATATCATGACCTGTGTCTTCTCCGCAGAGTTTGGCTGATGCTAACATAGCTGTATCATAGGCATACCTCAAAAACTAAATACACATTTTTTTACAAAACTGGTGTTTTTTAAGGTTGTGATATAACGCAGGAGTTAGGAAATTCACCATATCAGTGAACGTCTATTAAAATGTTTTGAATGTGTTTGATTATTGCAGTAAAACAAGCAGTTCATTGCTGTGATTATTTTTAGTGTTTTTTTGGTGTGAGGTTTGTTTGGTTTTTTTTTTTAATTAAAGTAATTGAATGACTTTCCCCCCCCTAAATTCTACTCTCTTATTTCCTAGCATGTAAGCTTTGCAGAGGATGGGAAGGTGTCTGGTTTTTAAACACCACTTTGCTTTTTTGCACATAGTGTGCACTCCTGAATTATTTCAAATGCATTAGGAAGTTTATACAAAATAGACATTGTGCAAGTTTACTTTGCTGAGGTTCAACTCTAAAAGCTGTAAAAGAGAACTTTGAACCTTTAGAAGCTTTGGTTTTGTTAATTACGGTGACTTCTGAGGTAGTACACATTCATGTTAATTCCTTTCTTTACAAATGAAAAAGCCAGCCTTGAGATCATCATTAGTATTAAACAGGTGACCATGAAATTGAACTATAGGAAATTAAGTGTTTCTGAGCTGGCTGAATAGGTGATTTGTTTAATCTCTCTCTTGGCAGAGTTGTAAAGAATAAATTTGAGAAGCAAGCACAGGAATCTAATTTAGTGAAGTCAGTTGACTTTGTAATGCAATGAAGTACGTTGCATAGTAATGAGCAGACCATTCCCTGCTTTCTGCCTCGAGTCCTCCTGAGTTTTCTTACTCAGTTATGAGTTACCACCGTCTGATGTGCTGAGCAGATGTCTCACTGAAGAGCAGGTAATGATAAGGTCAGCTGGCCCAACTTGATCTGCTCTGTGCAGCCATTAGCTGAAAACATTACTTTCTGAAAAAAGTGTGTTTTCCTGTAACGAGTGTCTTATTTCTAGTACAGTTAAATTTAGATGTAACCATTAAGTTACATCTGTGTTATCAAGGAATGTGGAGGATAAAATGGGATAACTGTAACTTCCCAATAATACTTAACAGAAAGTATGATAAAAGAGTGTGTCCAAGGGGTCAATAGGAAGTGGACTATATGACGGGCATGAAAAAGTTGTGATAAGAGATAGTGTTGCTGTAATAAAAGGGTTTAATGTTTGTTGTAACCTCATGTAACTTGAATGAGCAAATGATGCTTATATGCACAGAGCCTATGCATTAGACTACACTTACATTTACATCAAAGAAATGGGCGAGAATGGAGGCAAGTCAGTCAGTGTAGTCACTAACTGCAGTGGTGAATAGCATAGCCAACATGGAAGTGAAGGCTGAATTTGGTATTTCTCTAAGCTATCCTGAACTAATTACAACAAAAGAAGAAAAAAAAGTGTTTCAGTTCTTGATACTTTAAAATTGTTGACAATTGGGTTGATGGAACCTAATTTCAGGACTCATTTTCTTATTGTAGTACCTTCTGTGTTACTGTAATTACATGCTGTAATATCTTGCAAAACGTCCTTTCTGTTTTTAAGTGTGGAATTGCAAGCTGCATTTGAATTTCATACCTTATCACTAAATCTTATGGCTATTTAAATATTCTTTCTGTAGTGAGTGTTAATGGACTCTGAAGAGCTGGCCTACAGCTTCAACAAGCAGAGCACTGTGTCTTGGTTTTCTTAATACTACGTTATTTTGTCTAAATGTGTAGCTATCATTTAGTATTTATTAATATTTATCATTTATTATCATTTATTTATTAATAGCAATCACTTCTTGAATGACAAAGCAAATACAAGGCTGATAAAGGTTAGCAATTTGATTGTGAAGTCCTGAAATAAATGTTTTCTCCTGTGCCTGTGTCATTAAGAATGAAAGGTGTTTTGCCATGTTGGGACCTCTCCATAGTGACACTATTGACTGCTGTACATGGGATGCTTCAAACATTCCCTACGTTGGAAGATTGTGTGACTTCTGGAAAACTATCTTGTACAGTTGCTGGTTACTTTCTTGTTAAAATAAATACTCTTGCTTTTTAAGCTATAAAGGTGTAGAATGATCGGTTTGCTTGCAGTGCTTTAAGTGGTAAAGTCAAAAACAAATCCAGCATTTTCTCCAGTCTGTTGTACAGACAGAAACTCATCAGCAAGTGTTTTTCTGATGACTTCCCACAGAGTGGAGAACGCCTGCACCAAACTTGTTCGGGCAGCCCAGATGCTGCAAGCAGATCCTTATTCTGTCCCGGCTCGTGACTATCTAATTGATGGATCGAGAGGCATCCTTTCTGGAACGTCAGACTTACTTCTGACTTTCGATGAAGCAGAGGTAGGAATCCCAACATGACTAACGTAGGTTTCTGCCCACCAGGATTATGAATTCAAATATCCACCTAAGTGAATGAGCTAATCTGAACTATTGGGTAGATAAATGCATTTTTTGATTGTTCTAGCTTGATTAGAAGCATATTTTGCATTCCTTTCTGTCAGAAGGAGCTTAGGCTTGTTGCTCTGTTTTATTGAGAGCATCATTGTATGACATAATGTTTAGGCGTTGCCTGTGATTATTCCTCAAAATGGGCATATCCCATCAACCCTGTCTTACATCTTGCTAACACTTTTCTGTATTCCCTTCACCATTACTGATCCTTACAGTCTCTGTATCCCTTCACTGAAAAAGCCCTAGGCTGCTTCCTAACATGTCTGTCTGATTCATTAGCTGTGGCCATTTAATTGGCCTTGGGGCATGGGAGGTAATACACATATGAGCTGGCTGGCTGGTTAGCCAGAAGATGTGTTCTGATAGATGTAACAGTTGCTACTTTTTGGCTGCTGCACAAGCCAAAAAGTTGCTCGGAGGCCACTCAGAAGACAGAGTTGCAAGGAAACTTAAAAAGGAGGTTTTGAGTGTTTTGCATTTGAAAATATTTGTGTTACAGATCTTTCTTACTTTTGTGATCCTCTTTCTGGGAATGTGGAGTCTTGCCTGTTTCTAAATAGCAAGTATCATGCTATTAGGAGGAAATGAATCTCACACTGTTAGAAATGCTGACACTCATTCTAGATTTTACCTGTGCAACAATTTGTTAATCTATGAAATTGCGTTACTGTTTCTGCTGTTCTGAGTAGTGATACATGGCATCCTTGTCTCTCATTTAATCAGCTCATGGTACAGTTAGCACATTCCTCTGAAATGTGGAGAATGCTATGGGATTTCTCTGTGGCAGTTGTGATTATGTATTATTTTAAGTGTTTTTAAATAGATACTATGAAGTGTTATAGGGCAAAATTACAAGAAAGTTAATAGCTTTTAATCTCCCTGCTTCCAGTGTTTAGGAAATGAGTTGACTTCTGTGGATTTAATGCTTCATTGAACTAGTCTCTGACAGCTGCACATTTATCGACAGAAATATTAGTCTGGAATGATTGACTTTTCACAAATATAAAACTTGGCACTTCTCTATCCTACTATGTTTCAAGATAAACTAACTTTGGGACAAAACTGAAATGAGTTTTACAGGAAACTGTGTTCTAGGGACTGAACACTACATGTGGTTGATATGAATTAAATGTTAATTAACTCATTCTTCAATGAGACTTGTATGTGGTGGTGTCAGAAATAATGTGGTTCAGGAGGTCAGAGGATTAACCGACAGGGAACTCCGTTTTGTAATCAAGTATGAACTGAAAAAGTTAAGCTGAGGCAGATGGCCAGAGGTAAATAAAGCACAGTCTTCACAGATTTTTCTGGAAAGTTTAAGATGTTGGATCTACCTTGTTCACTAGACTGCTGGATAATGCTTTATCCATATGTAAAGCTGTATGGCGAGTAGTATTTCCTTTAAAAGCTTGGTGTCTGCTTTCTATGTAGTTTTGCTTTGTGATTTAAGTTAAATACTTTTTTTTTTTGGTGAAATTGCAATGAAAAACTTTAAGCATGCCAGCATACTTAAATACACTCTCTTATAACTTATCTTCTCAACGCTGTCCTTCATTTATTATGCAAAGTGAGAACACTGGAAGTAGAATTTTGCATAGTAGTGGAATGCTGATTAACTATTGTCTTTGTCAATACAGCACTCTTGAGTAATGGCATTGTAGGTTACTTAATCAGTGTCCCAGACCTTTGTGATTGCCCATACATCATGTTAGCAAATGGTGTACCTGTTCTATTCTAATTATAGGCTTGCATTTGTAATTCAAGTGTATCTCAGCTTTGTCTAATAAATGATCGAATGTTCCTTCTTTAGGTCCGTAAAATCATCCGTGTCTGCAAAGGAATATTGGAATATCTGACTGTGGCGGAAGTAGTGGAGACTATGGAGGATTTGGTGACATACACGAAGAATCTAGGACCAGGTTTGATTTGCTACAGCCCATTATTAAACTTACTAAGTATAGTCTTTTCCACTGTCTTTCCCTCACCCCAGCACCTTCCTCACCCAAGTTTCGAGTGTTTGAACAATGATAAAGCAGTTGCTTTGAAAGTGTCTGTTGGAAACAGTTTTAAACTGGAGGGTGAATGATGACTATTTTCTGCATTCTTAAGAAACAATGTGAATCAGAAGAGTCAAGATGTTGCTAAATGACATGTACTGCACAGATGATACGTAGTGTACTTTTCCTACACTGTATTATATATACTTGTTACTTCATGTTAACTCACACTTTTACGAGTGGAAATAAGTGATTGGTAAGTGAAGCACTGGGTTGCTGTAGAGGAAACCTACCATTAAGCTCTGTCATCTACCACTCCAAGTGCCTTAGTGAAACTAAAACTAACTTGCTGAGAGCAAGCATGAAGTAGTTTATAGAGTGCTTTTGTTAAATACCTAAAATCTAGATGATGTGGTGGTAATGTAGGAAGATGTTGGAATTATAATTAGACTGAAATAAAAAATATTTATATAAACAGAGCAGGAAACTAGTTAGTACTTTATATATAAAAATAAGAATACATATGTAGTGTTAGAATAACTAGCTTGTCGATGAAATGACTAGCAGCTCTCATCACAGGGCATGTTTGTAGATGATCTAGTTTTATTTAACATATGTATACTTTACCCTGTTTCTAGATGTGAAAAACTTTAAAGTTCCATATGAAAGTAGAGCGTTCTCTCAACTCTTTTTATGTCCCCTAAGAAGTTACCTTCAACTAAATAGGTTTTGCATCATTTTGACCAGGAAAAGACAAAACAAAAAGACCAGGTGTCTCTTTCTCTGAAACTACTTCTTTTATTTGGTATACGATTTCAGTTTCTCTGTGGTCATTGTCTTGCATATCTTTAAAATGGAAGTTTCACCAAACTTCGATTTACTCTATTTGGCTCAGTCCTCATTTGGGACTTTTCACTGTACTTCACAGACTTAATTTGCAGTTGTATGTGTACGACAGAGGTAATAGGTGTTGGAGAAGCGTCTTAATTTCTTAGAAGTGAGATGTAGGCTTGTACCTTTATTGCAAATAATCTTCTCTAAACTTCTGCTGTTCTGAATAAACAGCTTATCTTGTGCTTCTGGCATGCTCTAGAAGCACTGTCTTTGCCTGAACTAAATGCTGCTCAACACTTACAGCCCATTCCCACAAAACTTGTTCCCTTCAGCTGTATCAGTAGAGAACTGTTAATGTGAGCCCTATGTAAATAACAGCATTATGAACATGTACACTTAAAATCAACAAAGTGCTTGTGACTTTTATGTTGTAAGTAGAGAGGACAACATGATTACCTATTTAGGCTTTTGTCATTTGAAAGGAAAGGTGGCTCTGCAGCACTTACCCCCCTATGCTATCAGTGTGGGGATTCTACTACTTTTTAGTGTTGTAATTAAAACTTATTTAACCTTTTTGTTACATTAAGATGCTAACCAGCAGAAAAGTAATTCGGCCAAAGAGTATATAGCTTTCTTCCAGTTTTGTCCCCGGTAGGAGGGTGGGACTGCAACACCACCAATTTAGATCAGCTTAAATTTTTATCAAGCCGCATCTAAAACTTCCACATGTGCTGTGTGGTAAACCTCACAAATCTTAGCTATTGAAAATAGATTTGTCCTAGAATAAACTTAATTCCTTCCACATTTGTAGAGCACTGAAATATTTCTGGCAGAACTGAAGCATAAATAGATACGGTTCTTGAACTCTGGTAGAACTTCAAGGCAAACAAACAAACAAAACCCTGATGTTTCCTTTTTCTGCTGTTCACAATTAAGACTTTGATCAATTCTTAACAGAAAAGGTAAAAAAACCCTGTAAATTGGCTTCCAGAGTTCATGAGGTGACTTCATGTCCTAAAGTAGTAATTTCAGGTATTTTCCTATTTTATTGCTGGGGGACTATACATCAAGAATTTTGAGGATTCCATTCTACTTTGCATAGTGGCCAGGTTTTGAAACAGCGCCTTCTCTGAAGCATCTGGAATGTGTTTTAATGAACAGCTGCTAATATAAAAGTTAAGTTTTAAGCTTCAATATAGTTGTCATAATGCATTACACTTTGTTCTTCTTTAGAAAGCTCAACTGTTGCAAGTTAGACTTAATATTACAGTTCATTTTTTTAATGACTGTTTAATTACTTCAATCTTTAGGAATGACAAAGATGGCCAAAATGATTGATGAGAGACAACAGGAGTTAACTCATCAGGAACACAGGGTTATGCTGGTAAACTCCATGAATACCGTGAAGGAGTTATTGCCAGTACTTATCTCAGGTATTTTTGGCTTTAATTTTCAATATCACTCTGAACTGCTGCTATTTTGAGCTGGTGTTCCAGTATCTTATGTTTATTAAAAATAACAGCCTTAACATTGCTTCTGTACTGATTGCAAATAATTGTGCTTCTTGTATTAAAACTTCAGTCTCTTTGAGATAAAATGGTCCATGCAAAATGAAATGTACTACCTCTGTATTAATGCAGTAAGAGGTCACCTTGAGCACTGAACATATCTTGCATGTGCCTTTTTCTAAACTGTGGTATTTTCGTAGCTATGAAGATTTTTGTAACCACGAAAAATTCTAAAAGCCATGGAATAGAAGAGGCATTGAAAAATCGCAATTTCACGGTAGAGAAAATGAGTGCTGAGATAAATGAAATAATCCGTGTATTACAGCTCACTTCCTGGGATGAAGATGCCTGGGCGAGCAAGGTACATTTCACACCTACATTGGTATATAGAAGTCTAGTTTTTGTCTACTGTATTGTATGCTTTATAAACTTGTGGTTTTGAGACTGTTGAAATATCTATTTGTGCATCAGTTTTTTTACTCTTTGTAATCACATTGTATAATCTCGTCAAGGTTAAAGAAAATTTTCAGATATGATTGTATTAATGTATCTTTCAAAATTAGCTTTCTCTCCATAAGCTAAGTTAAAGGTGTGTGGCATTTGGAGGTGGCTCAGTGGCTAACTAATCGTATTTGACAGAGTTATGTAAAAAGCTATTGTTTCATACATTAAACTAGTCTTGTAGCTAGACATTCTTAAGATTACCTGAGATTCTTCTCCTAGATACTACTAGGAAAGATAGGTTCCTGTCATATTCCTTTTGCAAAAGGCCTGAAGTTGAGAAAGTTTAGTCAATTTTTGGGGATCCCTCCTTCAACATTGCTCCTTTTCCCCCCCGGCCCATTTTTAATCTGGTCACAGGAGTAAATTTCAAGTGTTTGCCTTGTCTCAAAGAAATACATGTGAGATTGAACAGCCTTTCTGGATAAGTATGATGTCTGTTAAGCTGGCATATGAACGGTATTGGCTCCTTACAACTCAGTGTTAAGCTGTGCAAGTCACTGCAATCACCTACCTGGAGTTAAGTGGTGCTCTTAAGTGATACCCCCTGAAGATACGGAACTGTCTAGCAGGCCATAAAGCAGGTCTGGCAGACAGGATTGTAAAAGAGTTATTGTGGGCTTACAAATAAAATAACTGCATAACTGAACTTCTTGTGAATTTTTTTGAGTACCTTGAAATAAATTGCTGAAGAAATTTTTTTTAAGGGTTAGTGCTATGAGCAACAAGTAACTGTAAATATAGTTAAAGAAAATATTGCGACCTGAAGCCAGACTTATTCACAAATGAAATCTTGCAGGAAATCTAACATTGATGTAATCTAGGCATTAAAATCACTTTGGCCTATATTGTTTGCCACTTGACCCTTAGTTTGCCTTTTGAGTTATTTTGTCACTATCACTTCCTTATTATGACTACTTTATGCATCTTTGTTTTTGTTTTCCCGTTTCTTACCCTTTTCTCACCTTTAGAAGGTAAGCTTTCTTCCACACCCTACACCTCTACCTTGTACTAAAACCAAAAAAGCATGTATGTGGGATTTTGTGCTGTGTGCAGACCGTGTGCTGTGCAACTTTTTATCTGTGTGCCAGCTGTGACACCATACTTACGTATATACGCACAGAAGTTTTAAAAGGATCTTAATAGCTCTGTCTAGCTACGTGTAGAGTTGGCTGTCACTAAGAGAATGTTACTTGCAAGCTGAACTGCATTAGGACTGTCTTTCTGAGTCTGATTAGTTAGCCCAAGACTTCAGAGCACATTCTTGCTGAATGCTTTTGTGTTAATTTATGTTACTAGTCTCTGTAGCTACAAATAAAGGGTCCAGTCATGCAGGAACAAGCTTTCTGCATGCCCAGAAAGCTTTATTAAAGCAGGGATTTTTTCCATTCCATAGGATTTCACCAGCAGCCTTCCTTCAGTTCAGATGGTTCATGTTCTTCAGGTCTAGGCCTAAAACTTTAATTTTGTATGTGCTTTTTTTCAATTCAGTTTTATAATTGGATTTTAGCATTTCCGTATTTTACAAAATACAAATACAATTTTTGTTTAACCAACAAGCTGGAAATTTTTGTGGTTAGAAAAAATGACTGTTGCAAAAAGCTGGCAATTTAGCCTTAAGAAAGTCTTACTTATCTTGCTAGTGAGGCAGATTAAGAAAGGAGGTTTTTTTAAAGAAAATAGTTGGAGTATTAACAGTATTTCCAAACGGAAAATATTGTTCATTATGTGTAATGCAGAAATATGTTGTGTGGGCTAGTACAATAATTAAGTTCTGAGTTGAGAACTTAATTATAATTTGTTTTTTGAATTAAGGTACACTGACAATTTGGAACTGTAGCACTGAGCATTAACCAACAGTTATGATGAAGAATTTGAGTTGAGCAGTGCAGTGGGATGAGGAAACAGGACCTAGTTTGCTAATGGCCACTTATTACAGGCCTCTTCCTGTATTTGCGTATATAACGGTTCACTTTTTATTTTTCTGGGAGGGAGAGGGAGGAGCTCTTTAGTTCTACTTGAGATCACTGCTGCATGCATTTTGTGCCTGGCAGTCAAGGGAAAGGTGTTTTCCTCGTGCTTTTCTGGAGCGAAGTAAGGTGTGTTTGGGGATGAACAGCCTTGAACTTTTACATGTGTAGTACATGCTAGTGATGGATGTTGGAGTTTATTTTATGTTTATTATTCTATCTTGAATTGTTTGTACATTGAAGTATCACAAAATCTACCGATTTGTAGAGAAGGAACAAGTGTATGGAGCCCGAGTTGTAGACTTTTGTAAACTATTTAGTTGGTCTTTCTAGACTCTGGATTGTACATTGTGGATTTCAGTAACCTCTGCTTGCACTAACACTGGATTTGTTTAAAATAGTATGCTGATTTAGAATCGAAATGCTGAGCAAATACTGCTCTCTAACAATGTGGAAAAAGAGTATATACTTATTTCTTCCTTTCATAGCTTTGTATCTTTTTTCCTTGAACATCTCATTTTACAGAGGAGTTTTGTTGTATATTCTTAGTGTTTACTTTTAAATAAACTTGAAGTAATACTCAGTTCAAACTACTTCCATTTCCATAGAAATGGAGGGAGTTAAAAGTTATAGGAAGCTGAGAAGTGTCTGGTGTCTTGCAGGCTTGAACCCTGGATGGTGGCTAAGCTAGCTCTTCTGCCAGAAGGCTGGCTTTGCCTATTTCCTTCAACACTGCCGCCTTTGGTAATGAAATGCAGATTTTGCTAGACTAGACCACTTCATTGAGTCAGAGGTTGTGGTTTATATTCAACAAGGGATTGTGTAGGATTTATTTTGCACCTTTTCAAAGCGGTGCCAATACCACCTGCTCCATGAATAATCTCAAAATTCATGGTAGTGGCAGAAGTGATGTGTGAAGGTGTCATGAATAAGTGTTGATTTGCTTTAGGAGCTGATTTGCAAAAATCCAACTTGCTCTTTTCCCTTCAGGCAATGTAGCCCTAGTTGTTTAACTTGATTAACTTAAGTTCTTTATCTCTTCTGAAAAGGTGATAGTGCTGCTTTTGTTAATGAAATTCCGTTTACCAAGAGGGGATCTGTGTGGAGAGGAGGGAAAGAATCCTTTCTTGCTAAGTAATCTATATGGAACTTTTTTGCAGGATAGCTATAGGATTTTTTCTGTTCCTGCTTGCCACTGATACTCTGCTGGCAAATCCCAAAGAGTAGAATTTTAAACATATTTAGTTGTTGAGGAAGGAAAAAGTCATTTTAACAGCTCCGGAAGTCAGGAATATCAAGACACTTTTAAGCAGTAAGATCTTGAGCAAGTTGGTTTGTTTTGTTTAAATAGAATATTTCTACTCTTGTAGAAATACTCTGCATAATAGCCTGAATTGGTGGCTGACGACAAAGTCCAGACATTTCATTTGTCACTTGCCAGGTGTCTGGTACCAGACACAACTGTGGCAGAAACACAAGCGCAGTACAAACAAACCTAGTTACGGACGTTTCTAATTTCCTATTTAAAGATTACTTGTCTTATTGCAAGGAAAATGCCTTCTCATGCTAAAGCTGAGAGGGATTCCTTGTTGAGGCATGTGGAAGTGGGAAATCTGCGCTTTAAGATTAAGAGAGGTTATCCTAGAACACTTCGACTGCTACAAAGGAAAATGCCTTCTCATGCTAAAGCTGAGAGGGATTCCTTGTTGAGGCATGTGGAAGTGGGAAATCTGTGCTTTAAGAGAGGTTATCCTAGAACACTTCAACTGCTACACCGGATTTTTTTAAAATTGGAAAAGGGGGCAGTATTTCCCAATCGTGAGTGTAGAGCCACACAGGATAGCAGGATTTACACTGCAGAGCAATGCAGTTATACAGCCTTCATATGACAGGAGAGATGGAACCTGCTAATGCTTGGGTAGTGCTAGCAATTACAAAATCATGGGTGTAAAAGCTAAAATACCGTTGATTTTTGTCCTTTGATACAAGACTTTAGATTCAGAGGCTTCTATGTGGTTTTACTGAAACTGCAACTCTGCAGGCAGCTGAGACAACTCAGAAACCTGTGTTAGGAAAAGGGGAGGGACAAAGACAGTTTTCCCAACACTCTTCTTTTCTCAGCCATCCCATACCTATTATCTCATCAACGTGCTAAGCAACATCTGTTGCCTTTTTAAAAATTCAGTTAGTTCTTTGTTTCACATTGTTTCTGGGTAGAGAGGCCTGCAGCAGTCCATTCATGCCAAACTAAAGTACCCTCAGATCATATATAAAGCAACAGAAAACTGTAACACCTACCTTCATGGCTAATAACGTTTTTATATACATTGGAATACTTAAGTGATTAGTTACTTGTCTCTCGTCATATAGTAAATGCACAAATCTCAAGTTTTAGAGGAGATGCTTTTGAAAAGCATGTGTCCATCTTCCACTCCTAGCTGCATATCCTACTCTTTTGAGGTTTTTTCAAACAGGTCCTGACCTAAGCTCCGAGACCCAGTTTCTTGATTTGAGAACCAGCCTTCCAGGTGAAAATGATTCTGCTTTTGGTGCTCTCCCAGGTTGCGATTCAAGAGCCCTTCAAAATATCCAGCGGTGTCCCATGGCCTTCTGGAAAGCTGGTTGCTGAATCATATTGTAGCACCTTATGAATAGCTGACAGACCAACATGCCTGAATAAGGCCAGCTTAAAAGTCAAAATGTTTGCAGTGATGTATCTTTGAGACTAAGCACACAACAACACAAAAACGTGCCAGTTCTTTAGTGGTGTTAGGATGTCACATGTTGTACCAGATACTGATCATTGATGCTAGGAGACTCTTCTTCATGAGAGTTGGAAATAGTCAGTCTAATTCGGTTAACAGCGTGAGAGCCAGGCTTCTTGTCATCATCTGTATCCAAATCATGGGATGTTAGATGCATTTCAAGTTATTTCCATGACATGTGTTGTAAAAAGCTATTTTGGCTTTTTCCCAACTTTCTACTTAAGGTACTTGTTACTGTGTTCCCTGTCTTTCCATTTGTGTAAAATAGAAAACTTGTGACCTCTAGTGGAGAGGGGACATGTGAGCAATTACCAGAGTATGCAGAGAAATGAGAACTGAATGGTTTTGTCTCCTCTAGTCAAAGAGGTATTGGAAAATAGTAGCTTAACAGTCAAAGCAGCAGCTTCTCCTGACAGAGAAGTTCTGAGTTCAGAATGACCACATGTGAATGCATGTGTTTGTCTCTGAAGACATTAAACTCCATATGTGACAATTCCAGAAATTACCTGGCAGTCCATTTTTCTGCAAATAGCAGCTGTTTGACTTTAGGCAGCAGAGCAGGTGAAAAGTGCAGATGTGCGACCTCTTACACACAAGTAAGTAGTGAAATTCACTGGCTAACTTCCATTTTTGAAAGGTTTAATCTCATTGTTACAATTTTTCTCCATGCCCTGATGTACATTAAGGAAAAGAAATGGTTCTAACTCCAAGATGTGTGCCTATTAGAGCTCTGACTTTAGAAATTAAAATGCTAGTAAATAAAGGAATAGAAAAATCACTAAAATTGCATGCATATCTTCTGCATTTTGAGTGAAATGAAAAACATCTGTCTTAATTGGAAAGAAGTGATTATGACCTGCTAGTTTGAAAATGGGTTTTGAGCTGCTTATATGGATGTGTTTCTGTAAGTAGACTGTGCTTTATAGAACCTCTGTCTGCTTTGGCTGTGTTAACTATTCGTACTTTGATTTTTTTGATAATCATTTTGGTGGTTTCCCTTTTGTAAAGGACACTGAAGCCATGAAAAGAGCTTTAGCCTTAATAGATTCAAAGATGAACCAGGCAAAAGGTTGGCTGAGAGATCCAAATGCACCTCCAGGTAATATTAAACAAAAATAACAGCACAAAGTTGAATCTTTAAAAGTCTGAATAATTCTGTTTAAGAAAAAATTGCCTTCAATAACCCATATGTAGTGGATCATTCCAAAGGAGCTTGTGTTTATGCCTTTCTTTAGATACTAGAGATTGAACAAGCTGTGTCTAATCACCTGGAAAACTTTGCTGCTTTTCAGTTGTCTAAAGAATATACTCTGTGTAACATACATGTTTTATTCTTGGCATTCCACTAGTAAAAGCAAAACCCCATGAACTGCATGGAACAGTATTTAACTGCAGTGGTTGCTAATACTGTTAATACCTCCTTTTGTATTTTCAAATTTGTATAACTTTAGACTTGTCTAGTAGTGATCTTTAAGTGTTTTTATTTCAGTCTTGACATAAAGTTTTTGACATGAGAATCTTCCATAAATACTGTAACTACAGTCACCTTTACTTATAGAAAGGTTTTGCTTTTATATGTATCTTTAAAGCAAATAAAACTGGATAGAGGCCTGTTCCATTTGGACTTTGAAAGACCTTATCTGAAAGACTTCCTCTGAAATGGAAGCCAAAATAATACTGTTGTAAAGGTTGGAAGTGAATTATTGTCACCTGTGGAGCTGCTGCTTATACTACTTCTGACCTCAGTCCCCTTGCTGCAATCAATTCTAGAAACCTCGAAGTTATTTTCAAAGCATTCTGTCATTGATGCTGACAATTAATGAAATAAACTATTACAAAATCAGTAGCTAAGGGCAAATGCAAAGATAGTTGTAAAACTTACTGCAAATCAGATTTTACTGGGTGTGTTGCTTTGAACTAAGCTCAGAATATGTTTGTCATCTGAGTGTTCCTTATAGCAGGACTTCTTTGAACCAATGTCATTATTATAGTTTCATGGAGGAACCAGTACTTTATGGGTACTGGCACCTCCACCATCCATAATGCTGGAGGATGGGGTGAGGGTGGGTTGCGAGTAAAAGGAATGTTGTTCTTGCATCTTCTTTAGCCTAAATGAAGTCAGATTTGCAACTGGCTGACGTTAAGTCTATGTGAATCTTGCCATGTTGCTCTTTTCCTTCTTAGCCTGAATTCCATATTCTATAAATGAAATTAAGCCATGACAACAGAATGGTGAAATGACTTGAAATAATGCACATGATGCACATTGTGGCTATGCTATATTGTTTCAGAAATACCATTATAATTACCATATTTGGTGTATGTCTCATAGTTTTTTGAGAAACGGATTTTCGGTGCTGAACCTAAAGCAGTTAATGTGATGGGACATGATGAGACGAGCAGTTTACTCAGACGTTTCAGGGAATGCAATGTTTGTTTTACTGACCATCTCTGCACCTTAGGGGATGCTGGTGAGCAAGCAATACGGCAGATCCTTGATGAAGCTGGGAAAGCAGGAGAGCTGTGTGCAGGCAAAGAACGCAGAGAGATTCTGGGAACGTGCAAAACGCTGGGCCAGATGACTGATCAGCTGGCTGACCTCCGAGCTCGGTGAATTGATTACTTTCAATGGACAATTTTCCAGTACTATCAACACGCTTTTTCAGAACTTCCAGTTGTGTCACTTCCTAAGCTGTAGGAGAGCAGGCCATAGCTGTATTTTGCCTTTTTGGCTTAAAACTCTTCTGATAAGAGTAATGTGTTTTAATATGTGAAATCTTCATTTTCTAACATAAGCAAAATTGCTCAAGCAGATATTTTGGCATTTCTTTAATGTCAAACACATAACTTTCCTCCTAATTGGGCAGAAACAAAATTTTAAACTCTGCTGTTAAGGCTGTTATCCAAGGAGGGTATACACCAGTGACTGTAAGATACATTAATACCCTAGTTTTTAGGTGTTTATTGGGATGTTAGACCACAAGCAGTAGTTGTTAAAGTTGATTATCAGTCACTGATAAATGCTACTGAACTTCATGTGCATGGAGTTTTATTTAACCAGAGCCCTTTATCAGTTTTCTGTCTTCCCATTAGAAATTGCTTATTCTTTCACAATGATATTTTAAATTTAAGGGGTTTGTTTTTAGGCAGCAGATGAGTCTCTTTAAATTCACTATATATTTTTATCTATGTTTGGTAACGTGGCCTTTTGTTCTTTTGCCAAAAAGTAGAGTATGATATGCCTTTGTGAAGGCATAAAGATGATGAGCTAATAAATAACTATTCCGTGTAGTTTGAACACTGTAACACCATTTCCTTTGACTATAAGGAATTTTTAGGCTACTTGTCAGCGTAGTAAATTGTTAAGCTAGAGTATTCTGAAACTAGTTTCTTTATTTTGTTGTAACACTCCTCAAACACTGCTCAAAAGCTTTCCGATGGTCAGGTTATTTTGTAATGGCGTATGAGATTTCTTACGCAAAGTAACATTCTCAGGCAGACATATCTGAAGTAAACTTTCTAACCTCTAACTCTGAAGCATTTGAACAAACAGTGGTAGTGCTGCAAAATTTTTTTCTACAGTCCTGTAGCTTTGTATTGCTAGCACCCTTTTCACCGTTTTAAGAAGTCTTGTCAGTAGCCCGTAATCTTTAATCTGCTTTGTCAATATGACTGAGGCAACTAAGACCTCTTATTTTCACTTGCAGACTTGCTGTCCTGACTTAGGTATGGTGAGGCATAACTCCTGCGGGTTCTGACTGACTGCAGCAATCAATAAATGAGGAGATAGCAGGCCTTGCCCTGGGTACTTCAATGGGACTGTATCCTCAGATGGCCTTACTTTCTGACACTTGAAAAATGATCATTCTTCTGAGGATGCTAAATGTCAAACTCTGGAAAAGGGAACATATGCTTGTAGTTTTAATCTCTTTCATCTTTTTAATCCTCCTTCAGTTATTTTTGTTTTCCCAGGGGAAAAAAAAATCTGATTAAACACTTTATCTCATGTAGTAATTGCTGGGAATGTGCAGAACCAGATTTTGTTGTCTTTTCATTAGAAAAGATATATTTTGTTCAGTCCTGAGCTGAATCTGTGATGCTTTTTTTGTCTTGGGCAGAGGCCAGGGTGCGACACCCATGGCTATGCAGAAGGCACAGCAGGTGGCACAAGGTCTGGATTTGCTCACTGCAAAAGTGGAGAATGCAGCCCGCAAACTGGAGGCCATGACAAACTCTAAGCAGGCAATTGCTAAGAAGATTGATGCTGCGCAGGTACCACCCTGATTTCCTAAACACTTCAGGACATGATTACATTACTGATGTTAGAGCTGTTATACTGAACCATTGTAGTTGTTTCACAGCACAACACAACACAGTTAATTATTAGGAAGAACGTGTAGAGAATACTTGCTTTTACTGAATTCAAGATTTTTCTGTGTGATTTTCAGGGTGCTCTGAGCTTTGCTATAGCTTATGAGTTTTTTCATATTTTGTTTAGCATTGCTAAAAAATTTCAAGGTTGTGAAATTAAAATGAGGAAATATCCTAAATTTGGTCATAACCTGATCCTATTAAAGAAAAGAGTAGAGGAGTTTTAGGCTGCACAGATTTACCTCTGGGTAAAACCAGAGCCCTTTCCTTGGGCTCTGCTGTGGATGTTCAGGATTTAGAACTTCATATTCACGACAAAAGCAAGACAATGTTAATGAAATTACTTTATCTTTTAGTTGATCCTTTATTTTTGTAACTGTTAAAATCTCCCTCAACGATCAGCCTAATACCGAGTGACGATGATGGTCATGAAATAATGTACATTCTACATATACCTTATCTCAATGTGTGTATGTATATATAACTATATATACGTTTGTATGTAATTTTTATCATTATTGTTATATGATGATATTTTATCATTATATAAAATACGAAATAACATGTAATTTTATCATTTCTATATATATATAGATACATAATATTATATCTGTCTCAAATGAAATGATAATGAAACTTTTTAGGAAGAGCTCTGTAGAGAATGGCATACTGTTCACAAGAGCTCTGTTTTTATTTTTCTTCTTAAAGTCAGATGATGAGTCTCTGAAGCCACTAGTTAAATTTCACTTCTGAAAATGCTGGGGAGAGAGAGAATGTAAATCTTTGAGTAGAATTAACCTAGTATGACATCTTTTTCAAAACAGAAAACCTGCCAGACAATAGAAGAACTTCTGCCAGACAATAGTATCTAATAAACAGAAAATTGCCTTTGAAAAATATTTTCTGTTAAATAAATTTTGAAAGCTGTATTGATTGTTATTTTTGTTTAAAAGTCCCTATAGAAAGAATATTACTCTTTATCTTCACTCATACAAAACTTCTCTTTATTAAGAATTGGCTTGCAGATCCTAATGGGGGCAGTGAAGGAGAGGAACATATTCGGGGAATTATGGCTGAAGCAAGAAAAGTTGCAGAATTATGTGAGGAGCCCAGAGAAAGAGATGATATCCTTCGTTCCTTGGGGGAAATCTCTGCTTTGACAGCTAAGCTATCAGAGCTGCGGCGACAGTATGTATTAGTTTTATCACTATTAATTTATTTTAATTACTTTCATTTGCAGTTCAAAGTGCTGAGCAAAATCAGAATATTGATGATTAATTGGGGAATATATTTTCCTCCAAGAAAAATTTCTGTCTTGCATTTGTTAAAATCGAATGTGAAGAATTGTTCTGTTCCTAGTGGGGGGAAAGCTAAGTTTTTAACATCCTTTAAAGAAATTAATTTATAAAATATAATGTCCTTTTTAATGTTTCAATTTAACGATTTCTATCCCAAAACCTAACTTGCACTATCTTCCTCCAAAAAAACCCAAAAACAATGGAGTAACTAGAGTTGCATTATCTAGAAAATATTTTCCTTCTATATAATATTTGACAGGCAAACAGAAGCCAAAAGTGAGCTCCTTTGTTAATCTGAAATTTAAGTTTGTTTATCCAGACAAATGTCATCACTGGTTTTTTGCTAAGCAGTTTACTAAATGGCAAGGTGGAATCTCTAGCACTTCAGTCAGTGTCAGTGTTCTAAGCTGTAACTGTGAACTATATAGAAGATGAGACTCTAGGAAAACCCTGTTACCTTGGGTTCAGCGCTAGCTGCAGATGTCTCTCTATCAGTTTTGCAGTGAGGATACTTGAGAAAGGAAGTGGAGAAACAGTTATTGTATAAATTGTGATCTTTGTCTATGGCCGGTTGCAATATGGAGATATGTTTTTTTCTTTCTTCATTAGTTAGACACTTTAATCGAGTTTTTCTTGAGATTGAACTGTTGCAGGTTCTCAGTGTGCTGCCTCTTTTCAAGTTTATATATAGTCTGTTGCTGCTTACTTTTCTGCTTGTAATCTGTGTGGCATTATTGCAGGTACTTGTAAGACAGGCATGAGTACGGGAAACCAAAGTCATACATCAGCATTATCAATGACAGTACCCGCCTCAGTGCTCTGTTGAACATATGTAATATCCAGGTGCCACAGCAGAGAAGTGTGAGGTGGGGATTTATGGATGGCACATCTGCATTATTTGCTCTGAGACTCAAGTGTCAAATTTAACCTTATTTTAAAAGATGAAGTACCTTTCATTGTGTACCTGCTGAATTTGCAAGTAGCTGTAAATGATCTATATATGACTATACTTTTTTTTTAACCCTTAGTGGGAAAGGTGACTCTCCTGAGGCCCGTGCGTTGGCTAAGCAAATAGCTACATCACTTCAGAATTTACAGTCCAAAACAAACAGGGCTGTAGCAAATACTAGGCCAGTGAAAGCAGCTGTCCATTTGGAGGGCAAGATTGAGCAAGCTCAAAGGTGGATAGACAATCCTACAGTTGCTGATCGGGGAGTAGGTAAGTGTTTCCATGTGCTCTTCCCCCACAGTTTTATGGTTGAACTTGTTAGTAACTTTTATGACTGCAACTACTGCTCCTGGGATGCTGATGATGTGTGGAATCTCTTCACCGATGTGGAGACCTGCAGTCTGTGGCTGGAGGTTTATTGCCAAGTCCTGGCTGCAATATTGCTGAGTCAAGCTAGCCTATGATTCCCTTTGTCTTCTGGAAAGAGTAAATTCTGCAAAGAATAAGAAAAGGTGTGCTAGAGTACAGACAAACTTTAGACTGCTCCTTACTCTTATTATCATGCAAATATAGTATCTCAAATTCAAATTTGTGCCTACTCCAGCAAACTGAGTATTTAAATCCTTCAGAGAGGAGAAAAACATCCATAAACCTGACCTAAAAATATCACTTCTTATATGGTTTCTGGGTTATCTAAGGAGAATGCTACTTAATCAAAGAGGTGATCTGAGAATCCAGGCATGCTATCAGAGGGCATAGGATTCTGGTTCAGGAGCTGCTCTATGGAGTGCTTATTTCTGAAATTTAATGTTTAGCTTCTGGATTCAATAGTTTTTTCCATAGCAGTTAATTCTGAACAGTGCAGTTACGTCTGAGCAGTACAAGTGATAATGCTGAGTGGAAACATGCCTTGTCAGAAGTAGTAGAACTGCAGACCTTTAATACCTTTTTCTCACACCTTTCCTTGTCTGTCAAGATAACTTCTGTTGTGTGAATGACCAATGACAGATCCTTGAATTAAAGACTTGGTGATTTTGATAGGTTGGACACTTATATGCAGTATTTTATATACACAATTTATATGCAGTATTTTAAACAGAATAGTGGAGTTCCATGTTTTGACACTTTCCTGTGGGCAAATTGCACAGTGGATGAGATAACCAAGGGTTAGATAACCCTAGATAACCGGTAGATAGGTCTCATGAGATGTTTTGGCAGTGGCTGAAAACCTTCCTAATTTTGATGCTTCTCTTGAATGTAGTAACTTGTGAGGTGGTTGGCTCAAAGAAGCACAAAACCTAAACTTATTTTTTTTAGTATTTTTAATTTCAAAGAAACAAAGGTAACTTAAATCCCACTTGAAGCCTGTAAGTGCCTAGTTAATCTTGAGGCTTGCATACATACTGAAAGCTTGCTGAAGGAACTGAAGTTTCTCAGCACTGGATATGTACTACAGAATTTCTTCAATTGCTGTAGCAATATATATGACAAGAATGTGTGTAGAGATGCAAAACGTTGTATGTTCTGTAACTGTAATGTTTCTAAGTTTAATGAAGAAAAATTCTAGTTGTAATATGATGTCATTGTTCAGTTTTTTTTCGTTTAAATGTCTTTTACTTACATTGGCCCTTGGCAGGGTGCTTATAGGAAAGGTATATGAAAGGTATACAAAGAATATAAATTAGATATATGCTCTCTTCAGTCTGGACAGCACTTCTGGTAGAATTTGGCCTGCTATTTTCAGTGCCGTGATAATGTGAAAATGCTTCAGTGTTCTCTGATAAATAACTCTGTGTTTTCAGTTGTCCTAGGGTAATGCTTCAACACAGCCGAATTTTGAAGTAACGAGGCAGAATTTGTATTTTATTTTATAAACATATGAGTCACTTCAGAGATGTTAGCTACTACAAATATTTACATGCAGTCGTATTTTAAATGTTCTAGCTAAGTGATGGCTAAAGTACTTGTAATTGGTGGATCAAAACTAGGCAAGATGTATCGAAATACTAAACTAGTGTGTGGCGTGTACTTGCTTGGCTGTACTTGACTTATGGAAAACAATTTAAAATATCTTAGGACAGTCCAACAGCACCAAACTTAGCTACACTAATAAGCTTTCTAAAATGAAGGTGGCAGTGCTGAGTAATTCCTGGATAGTCAGATCCTGTGACAACTTCCTTCTAAGTCATTTTGAGCTTGATCATGAATTTGGATTACTTGTGTGTTAGCATTGGCTTAAAATGATTCTTCAGTAGGTCTTTAAAGCTCTTAATATACAATGACTTCTCTTAAAAGAAGAATACTGTTGTATTGAGGAGCATCTTCTTGTGAAAGAACAGGAAGCCTCTGTAAGTGAATGTAGGAAATCATCCATGCCAAGAATGATTATTTTTTACATAAAAGCTTTTGACACACTGTGGAGGCTTTATAAGGCTTCTCCCTCTACCCCCATCCGGGACACTTGTTACATCCTACCTGTGATTTCTGGAATCCTGGGAGAGGGTATTCTGGTTTTTCATTTACGTTTTCCATTTGGCTTTTCTCCTGCTGTTCCTTCTCATCTTCTGATGATTTGCATTGATGTGAAGATGTATGGCAGTACTTGGAATTTGCAAGTGCTTTCTGTTGGAGTCAGTAGATGAGTTATGTAGGAATACCTGACAGCTGTAATGGTTAACTTCTGCCAGGCCACTCTAGTTAAGAAGGATGCATCTCCAGCCAGAGCTGCTGTAATAATCAAAAAGAAACCAGTGAGAGTTGAATTCCTCTATGGATTTGAACTGCAATTGCTTAATGATAAACTGCAGAGGTCCTTTCCACTGCCTGGAAAGGTGTTCTTAAAAACCCAGTAATTCTGAAACGTCATTTATTTCGGTGACAAACAATGATAGGACAAGAGGTAATGGGCACAAGCTGGAACACAGGAGGTTCCACTTAAATTTGAGAAGAAACTTCTTCTCAGTGAGGGTGACAGAGCACTGAAACAGGCTGCCCAGAGAGGTTGTGGAGTCTCCTCTGGAGACATTCAAAACCCGCCTGGACGCCTTCCTGTGCAACCTCATCTAGGTGTTCCTGCTCCGGCAGGGGGATTGGACTGGATGATCTTTTGAGGTCCCTTCCAATCCCTGCATCCCATCCAATGCATGATAGTGCATTTCACAGAATCACACAGAATCACAGAAT